AACTAATCTTTTTCTTAAATTTTATAACATAAACTCTATGCTATGTAACCAGCAGGAATTTCAACTTTGTCTTTAAACACACCAAATTAAAAAGAAGTACATTAAATTTCAAAAAACTACAATAATAATGAGTAGAAAGTTTTTTTAATTAATGGTATTTTTGTTGTTGTTTTATTAAAATATATTTTTAAAACATTCGCAGAGTGTTGCTACATCGACTGTCTTATAGCCTGACTCGCAAACGAAGTGCTGCTATATCAAACTGACAAATAGCCTGACTTGGAACTGACAAATAGCCTGACTACATGGGAGTGTTGCTACATCGACAATCTTATAGCCTGACTCGCAAACGAAGTGCTGCTATATCAAACTGACAAATAGCCTGACTTGCAAGAGAGTGCTGCTACATCGACTGAGGGTTTGGTTAGGGCAGGCAATCTATCATTTTATTAAAAAAAAAAAATCAATTTTTTAAACTATAGACTATATATAAGATTATATACTATAGACAAGACTATATATATATATATATATATATATATATATATATATATATATATATATATATATATATATATATATATATATATATATATATATATATATATATATATATATATATATATATATATATATATATATATATATATATATATATATATATATATATATATATATATATATATATATATATATATTTATGTATATGTATATATGTATGTATGTTTATATATATGTTTTTTAAATATTTAATTACTTAAGAATCGTGTTAATATTTATACAAAAATTGATACAGATATTGAAAGAAATAGTTTAAAACTGAGTATATGATATACTATATATATTAAATATATACCTGGTTCTTGATATAGTATATCAAATATAATACTTGATATACTATATCAAGAACCATGTTCTGATTATTTGAAAGATTTAGGCATCGCAAAATCTCATGCAGTTCATATATTTCACAATCATATTTTTCAAAAGGAAAACCCATTAATGATATAGAGAGTTTATCCTGATAATTTAATAGAGTTTAATATCTTAAATTGACAACTTTTAGATGGTGCTATTTAAAATATTCGGACCAATGCATAAGTTAATGAACTTCTTGAAATAATACAAAACCAAGGTTTGGAACTTCGCGAAGATGCAAGAAAAAATTTTGAAAAAATTTAGAGGTATCACTAAGTTATACACGGCTGTTTCAGAGTGAGTCTTACGGCTTCTTGTTTTTTTTTTTACTAAGGGGGTGTTACTAAAACATTTCTAATTTTGAAATATTTGAGACAATTTTGTTTTGTAAAAGTAATAAAAACAACAATAAAATGTTTCATCATATGGCATTTAATACACTGTAAAAAAACTTCTTTTAGTTTATAAAAAACGCGACAAATAATGAACTTGGCTAAATTTTAGTAATTTGTCGTTACTTTTTATCAAAAAAAAAATCAGAAAAATATATTTCTGATAGTTATTATCAAATACACTTGTTGTTTGACTATTATTAAAATAAGATACTTTATATAATAACTTTAAGATAAAAGCGTTTATAGAAAAAAAATACTATTATTTTAAAGTTAGAGAATTTTTATACTTTTTATGCGGAAATACGTTCTTTTTATATATAAAATTGTAAATATAAAATTATAAAATCCACACAAAAATTCTTGTGACGTCAAGCTCGCTTTTATATTGAGTGAAACAGCCGTGTATACCTAGAGATGTTTCTCTACATCTTCAAGATAAACAGTTATAAACTGTTACTGTAAAGTGTGGTAATAATTACTCTTATTTTGAAATACAGGCAAGTATTAAGAACATATTTTTTTTGTATTTTATATTAGCTTGCTTTGATTATTTTAATATTTTTATAGTTGGCATTTATTGTAGTACAACCAAGGCTAATTCACAACTAAATACTTATTTTTTTCTTTGAGTCAAGTCAATAATACAAAATGGTTTTCTATACAATAAAAAATATAAATAAAAACTTTATAAAATCTTATAATGGTTACAACTTTTGTGAAAAGTGTTCCGTTTATGAAACTTATGAAGGAATATTTTTAATAATTTTTTACACACGTATCTTTTATATAAATCAACTGTTACGACTCGTTTAGTTTTTTAAATTAAACTCATTTGAATCTTTTACAAAAAAAAAATCACACAAAAGAATTAAGGCATTAGTTGTATTAGACATTTCAAAATCTGCTTTAAATAATCCTTTGAATATAGATGCAATTAATTTTGCTATTTTATTTTTCGTTCTTTAAAAATTCCAAATAAATAATTATAATTAAAATCAATATTTATATTTATTGTTTGATAAAATTTATTTTTTTAGTAACTTATCCAACTTTAAATTAGAATGAGAAAAATGTATTTAAAGATGGAAAAGAGTTGATATTTTTTTCTATTTGAATGAATTTTTGATAATTTATGGTTTTTAGTTTTAACATTTAGTAAAAAAATATATAACACAGCAAACATTTAAATAGGAATTTCAGTGGACCTATATAGGCATTGTAGGTGGTTGCAGTTTTGGTCATCATAAACTTAATGGACCATTAGTGGGAGCAGCCAAAAGTGGATAACACGAATAACTTGTTGGAATGTTATCGGCTTATCACTTGTTGGAATGTTATCAGCTGGCCACTTAAGTAATTTACTAAGTAAACAATGAGCTGAACTCCATTTAACTGCCTTTATAGGTCCCCTGTAAATCCACTACAACAATTTTTGTTGATAAAGTTTCAATATATAGTCATTTGATTACTTTCATATATATTCAGGGTTCCCAATCCTCCTTAAAAACCTTAAATATCCTTGGAAAAAAAAACATCCTTAAAAGCCCTTAAATAGTCTACTTTTTACCTAATTTACTTTTCCTTAAATTTTTGTTTTACTTATTAATTAAAAATTTATTTATAAACATATATAATATATATTGGTCATAAAAACTTCTATTATGTATGTAGTTCTTTAATTTTTGAATTAGTTTTTATACAATATTTCAAGGGAGTTGTCAAGTATAGTAAATATAGTATATATAAGTATGGTATAGTGTAAATAGCTTATTTTATGTAATATGCTTAATGAATTTTTATAAGTAACAACTTCTTTATTTCATTCAGATCCTTCAAATTGGATAGTCTGTGATTTAAAATTATGCTTTGATAATGATAAGTCAATGATAAATCTTTAAGTTTTACAAAGATAAATGTAAGTAATATTTTTTCTTGTAATTATTACCTTGTTATTTTAATTATATAGGTTTTTTTTCTTTATAAACTTATTTGTTTAATACTCCACAATACTCAAAATAACAGTTCAGCAAGAAAAAAAGAGCATTTAAGATTTTCCTTTCGAAGGACGAGGTTATTAAAGTTTTAAGTTATATATATATATATATAATAGCAATTAAAAAATAAAAAAATTTTCATTTTCATTTTTTAATCAACTAATATAGGCTCATTTAATTACTTACTTAATTAAAGAATAATGAAATATAAAAAACCTTTAAAGTTGAAAATAGTTTTGATCTTTACTAGTGTGATTTTACCGCTGAGTATCTTGAATGTGATCAATCGCTTTTTGATACAAATGTTGCAAAAAAAGTAGTATATTTTTATTATGGTAGTATATTTTTTATTATATATATATATATATATATATATATATATATATATATATATATATATATATATATATATATATATATATATATATATATATAATTATATATATATATACTTATGTGTATTTGTTGAACTAGTTCATTAAAGTTTATTTAATGTTTTAAAGGTTCTCGATGAAAAGACTATTTTAGTCTTCTGCGAGTTTCCTTACAACAAAGAAAAATATTTTTTAAGAATAATTTTATATATATATATTCAACAACGTCCACAAGCAAGTCCCTAGTAGCCCTGTGGTACGACGGACTTGCATATATTTTTTAAATGCATGGGTTAATAGCCAGCACTTTGTATTATAAACAACGAATAGTTATCTTATTTTGTACACTGTACAACGCTCATGCGCTAAACAGAATTTTGAATTTCTTTTGTCTTGTAAAAATTTTAATGGTACAAAAATTGTTTAATTGTACGTTTTGTACTTATATGTAAAAATATGTAATTTTTTTTTATTGAAATATATACGAATACTTGTGTTATAAATATATATATATATATATATATATATATATATATATATATATATATATATATATATATATATATATATATATATATATATATATATATATATATATATATTACTTCATAAAGTGTATTATAAATGTTCTCTTTAATCCTATCTCCTTTATTTTTACATACTTATCTTTAAAAATTTTTTTTAGATTTAAGACTGTTTACCTGATTCCTACAGCAAAAATGAACTTTAAAATGCTGTTGGCAATAATCTAAAGCCCACACCTGATCTAAAAGAAAGTAAATGACGTCAAGTGTTTGAACAGTCGATTCTTGGAAATTAACTAGTGGGTGAAGAAGTTTAAAAAAATTATAATTTATAAAACTTAGCACAATTATATTATTAAAAAGTTTACGCTAACTTTTATTTTTTACTTATTCTCAAAATGTTAAATGAAAACATAAATTTTAACCTTTGGTTTGAGTAAAGTCATGTAAAAAAACGTATTATAGACGTCGAAATGAGGACGACTAAATTAGGTTTGTTTTATCTAAATTAGGTTTGTTTTATCAGCTGATTCCATAGAGTCTTCACTTTCATCTTGAAGTTCCATTTCAATTTTAGAATCATTATCTAAAGATGTTGAAGACTCGATTTTTTTATTTGATCGTTTTTTTTTGACAACCAATTTTGCGCTAGTACCACTACGCTGTGTTCGTTTTTTTGTTTCTTTGATCACACTGAGATCATTTGATATTATTTCTTTACCAGGAAATATCTTTTTTCTTCTGTGTTTGTTTGTCCGTTTTATTGAATCCACAATGATCTCAGTGTGACCACAATGATCTTTTAGCATTTCCTGAGCAATCGTACCAAAGATTTCTTAAATCTTTTCACCACCAACATCTCGATTCTCATTTGGCAGTCTTTTCTTGACTTCCTCTCTGTTAACTGGAGATATTCTGCAAGCCGAAAAGCCAGAAATCAGGTTTTGTTCTTTTAATCTTTGATTCAACTTCAACAATAACCCAGGAAAATGTGACAACAAAAAAAGACAACAACTCTTTGAGTGTTGCATTTTACGTTCGACTCTTTTAAGTCCTCGTCTGCATATGATCGATTTTGCGCCAGGGTCATCCGAAAGATTAGTCTCGTCATAGTTATAAATTTTACAGGGTTCAACGCCTTCTAATATTTTCACTAATTCATCGGAGTAAGCATTCACAGTTAGTTCTCAAACCTCTGCGCATGAAGGTTTTACATTGTCAGCAATGCGTGTTGCCAGCTTATGGCGTTTGATAAAATTTAGCATCCAATTGATCCCTGGTAAATTGTTGTTAAACTATCTGTTTTTAACACCAGAGTGATCCAGATAATGTTTGACCATTAAACGAATATCTAATCCATCAACAGGCATTTTCCAATTACAAAGAACGTTTATTGCCTTCAAAAGGTGATTCTCACAATTAGAAAAAAGTGCAACTGGATGTCCAACTTTTTTTCCATGTTTACCTTTCATTCTGTTGTGCAATGTTCCATATGGAATTTTAAACTTTTTAGATGCTTTTAGCAAAGTCATAGTACCATTGAAGGGCCGCTGACAACTGAGTTTCTGAATGGAACAATAATCATGACTCCCGTCCTTCCTCTTGTAAATCCTCATATTACGGATAGGTAGGTATGTACCTATAGGCATATAAAAAAACATATTTTTATAGTATTTTATTACTGTTTAGAATACGTTTTTTACACTTTTTTACAAAAAAGTTACAAAAAACTTTGTAAATTTTATTGTACTTTTAACAATTTTAATATGTTTTTTACCTTTCAAATCATTTTGGTAAAATCTTTGTAAACTTTTGATTAGTGTTTATTTATTTTTAACTTGAAAAAAAGCGAGCCGTAATTGATTTTGCAATTCCATGAAATGAACTTAATGATTAGTTAATACAATTATACAATTGATTTTGCAATTCCATGAAATGAACTTAATGATTAGTTAATACAATTATACGGGCAAATGAGTATAAGATACGGTTTAATTATACAATATCAGAATAAATAATTTAGATATATGTTTATAAATTCTATTAAATCCACAATTATCATTCTAATACATTCATTTTCTTAATAAAAGTAAAAATACGCCGACTAAACTATATTTTGTTCATAATAATATATGTATATAACAAAATATTATCAAAGTCTAAAAACGAACACTATAAATTAAAACATCTTTTAAAATCTTATTTTATCTTTCAATTATTCGATTTTTATAATGTTTTCTAATGTGCGTTCCATATGAACGCACATTAGAAATTACATATTCAAATGTAATTATGTTGTTTGCTTCGTAATAACTAACTCTAAACGCATTCCTAGAACAAAAAAATTGCATAAAAACGTTTGAAGCAAACTGTAATTTTAAAAAATGTTGTTGGAGCAAGACTAAAAGCTAGAGTCGATGGCTGAAGCGGAGCTCGATGCAATACGATTAGCTACGAGCAGCCCAAAATCGAAGCTCGATTCAACGCAGAAAACCAGAAGATGGCACTGAAGACCAGTCAGAGGGTTTCAGTGCAGTGAAGGAAAACAAAGTTTACGTGCGACATACGTGGCCTTTTTAGGTTCATTGTAAATAAGACGTTGTCCATTAATCACGTTAACAATTTTTTGTTGACGTAATTAATGGACAACCCCCCTATAAAATTATGTTAATTTTTATTACCCCTCATTCCTCCATATACAAAGAAGCTACGATACAAACTCAGCCTAATTTTCCGTTATTTAAGCAATGAAACTGAAAAAAAATAATTGTTGACATCATCTTTAAATGACCTCCACCCCTCCCCCTTGTCAACAATTTTCAAAAATGTTCAGACTCCATCCCCCTATTTTGTTGACGTAATTAATGGACAACCCCTAAGGTGACGCCTCAGGAAAGCCTCAGCGCTTCAGCGCCTCATCGAACCAAGAAAGGCGAACGTTTTATTATTTGTATGAGGCTCACGCCTTAGTGCGAAAATTCAACGCCTCGCGCTGAGGCGTGCGCCTCACCGCCTTGAGGTGTAGTTTTTTTAAACAATGGTTAGGTCCATATTTAGAGATTTTAAAGTTGATTCATTATTTTAAGGTTTTAAGACTTTTTTAAAATCAAAATGTCAATTTTTAAAAGAAAAAATAAGATATCTCAAGATATATTAATTCACTTTCAAAATCTCTTACTAAAAAGAAAGATATTAATGCAAGTATTAGTTACTTAACTGCATTTTTTAGTGTAGACTGAACCAAACGTAAAAATATTCCAGTCTACATGACATTTAGTTTTAATAGTCGCGAGAACAATTCGTACTGAAAATTTTTTGTCCAAAAACTAACTAATTAAAAAAAAATACTTCTCACCTTTGTTCAAACGGTATCATTTAAAAATTATTTTATTTACATACTAATTGCATATCTTCCTTAGTCTTTACTTTACGAAGCAATTCTCTCCTTTGATAAATAGCAAGTAGTAGCTACTGACAATCGTTTTCATTGTGAACAAGTTTGATACAACTTTAAAAGATCTTTTAGAATCGATGTTAACACTGCAAGTTTAGAGACAAATTTGAAAAAAAGTCTTAAACTGGTCAAAGTACTCCCATAGTGATACCAAGCTATTTAACCAACGTTTATCATTCAATTTAGTCAAGTTTAATTTACTAAATATGAACCAAGTGTTTTTTCTCTCTAATTGTGCAATAATTGAAGGTTTTTCATGTGTTTAACTGTGATGAAAGTAGCTAACAAATTAGAGCTTTAAACAAATTTTATTTCTATGAAAGCCTGAACATTTAAAGAACTGGTTTTAAAAAGAGACATTTTTGCAACATCTTCTTTCTCTGCAACAGAAATTTCTTGTTCTAAAAGAGCAAGTGGAAACGAGGTTTTATCAAGACACCATGAATGAGATTCCATTGAAACCATTAAGGCATCAATTCCATTTAATATTGTTTAAAAATGCTGAACCTATTGTTTTACGTATTCTCTATATTTTTACTTTTTCTATTAGGCTTTTAGATCTTGGAATGGCGCAACGTAAGGCAAAGAAGTTTTTAAAAACCAGACGGAATAAAAGATAGAGATAAATTTGGGAATTGTCTGCACTTCTTTTTTTTTAAATTATTTTTCAATTCATAAGAAAGCTGCAAACTCAATATCTAAGTCTTTAGATAATAGATAACCTTGAACATAAAAAGTGCATGAGTCACGCACCGTGGAGCTTGAATTCAAAAAACTTTTATATAAAAATACATAAGACTCATTATGATAAGTTTCATTAGCTCTTTGTAATTTGCTCTGTGGAAAATTTTTCCATTAAGAGCCTTCTTGCAAATCGTTACAGTTTCAAATTTAGCGGTTTCTAAGAAAGTGTTAGCAATAGATTGACTATCATATTTAACAATCTTTAAAGAATCAATGTAACTTTTAATATCAATCCAGTTTATTTGGAACTGTTTGAAAATTAGACTTTCAGGAGGTTTAGTTTTAACAGTGGTAAGTTTTTCACAGAAGTGTTTGAGATGTAATTTTTAAACATGTCTCATGCAAGCCAGCTCTAGCAAAATTGAGTTTTGTTTTTGACTAAATTGATATTAGTATCAGAAAAACTTCCTATATTTGTTGCAGTGGTATCAAAAATAAATGTTTTACATTGTCAAATATTTAATATTTTTCCAGTATTTTAACTAAGGCATTGTATTGAGGTTGTCCAGTACTACAATCAATTGCTGAAATGCCAAGCAGCTTTATTTCCCCATCAATCATGGCCGACGACACGAAAATTTAAGTGTGTTTGTGTCTGTGTGTGGAGGGAGGGGGGGCACAATGGTCAGTTTCAAAAAAAATCCTCTATATCTTGAATTTTATAAATAAATAAAAAAAGATCCTGCAGAAAAAAACTGGGGGAACCCTGCACCCCCGGCGTCGTTGACCCTGTCAATGTATACCAAGATTGCAAATCTATTTGTTTTTTATTTTTTACCTCCTGTAATATCTTTCATAATTTTCCCATCAAAATGTGCTATTATAATACTTTAAAAATTTAGTATCAGCATAATATGAAAATTTATCAAAGCTCTTTTTCTTTAAATTATCTTTACCAATCCAAAAAACTTGCGTCCCTTTCTTTATGAATTCTTACCTAGATTTTTCTGCTGCCTTAAAGTCCTTTTTCTCACTTTTTTTAAATGTCTCTCAATTTTCGATTAAACGATGTTATCCCTAAGAACATAGTATAATAATTTATGATATAAAAATTATAAAGTAAATGAAATTAAAGAATAATAATGAGATATTTACAACAATACACTGTATAACACAGGCTAACACCACGATAACCAAAGTAGGTTGTTGTGTTGCAAATGCAGTTTTTCAAATGTTGTGTAGCAAATGTATTTTTGTTGGTCTTTTAAATTAAAAGTTAAGAAAAAATTATTTGAGTCAAATTTTCTATCAGTTTTTCTTCTTCAAATAAATACGCCTTAAATTTTAATCTTGTAACTTTAGCCATTTTGAATAATACTTAAAAAATATTTTAGCCGACTAGTTGTTGTTAGTATTCCAAAGGCAGTTTTAAATATTTTGTCTTAGCATCGGAAAGTAGTTGTTAATTCAACAGATCGGAAAAGTAGTAGCATCGGAAAGTAGTTGTTAATTCAACAGATCGGAAAAGTAGTAGCATCGGAAAGTAGTTGTTAATTCAACAGATTGTTGAAGTAATTGTTACTTTTACATTTTAAAATAATGATTTCTGATTAAAACCGGATTTTAAATTTATTGCACTCTAATGTTTATTAAGGACATAAAGGTTATTTATTGTGATGGGGCAATTGCCCCGTGGTTCAAAGATAGTTTTTTAAGACCTTATTTAACAATATTATAAAAACTATTCAGGTTATAGTTTGTTCCGTGTTGGTAAACAGTTTATTCAGAAAACGTTTTTTATACGCTACCGAGTAAGTAACATCTTTTTATAAGCAAAAATCTTACTTTTTCACCAATCATGCAGACTAACTTCTTAATTTTTACAACATGTTCCTTATCTTTGATTATTACTCAATCAAATATATACCATTTACGAGGAAAAAAGAAAGAAATTACAGAGTATATTTTAAGGTCCCCGTCGAAACACCCAACAAATTTAGACAAAAATTGGACCGTGGGGACACTAAAATTTATCAGCATTTTTTTTATGCTTAATCACATTTATATAACAATGTTAATTTATAAATCACAGTGCAAGTTCAATTTCAAAAATATGAAACACTCTAATACACAACCGTTCCATGTACGACCCGCAAAATTAACTTTTGTTTGTTTGCCTATTATTGTTACATTTTTTATATATTAAGTAAAGTAAACATATGGCTGATTTTATGCGAAAAAACTAAAATAATGCTTAGCGCGCAAATCCTAATCTGAATTAGCTGAATATTGCAATACTATTAGAAATAGTTAAGGATGGTTTGAATGATTTTGGGTTAATTGAGTTGCAAAAAATAGCAGAAAAATCATCCTAGAAAAGCCAAGCCAAACTTAAGGATTAAATACTTAGCTGAAATAAGAAAAAATAAATGTTTAGTTGTGAACTAAAATACCAAAAACTATTAAACATAAAAAACAATTGCCATCAGTAAATCCGCTAAATCTATCATTCACTAATATTCGTGATCTTCAAAATAACTTTTCTTCTGTTGAGTCTTATCTATTGCAAAGTTAACTAGACATACTTGCTCTTTGTGGAAATAATTTGAGTTCGGCTGTCTCATCTTGTGATCCTAGTGTTGATAGTTATCTTCAATTAATTTATAAAAGCTCTAATAGTCACATGCTTGGCCTGGGCATTTATAGTCGTAAGAATATAAATGCCCAGG